ACCCCTCTCCAAACGCAGCATTGATATTGCGGGCTGTTTCTGCCGCGGAACTATCCGCGTCGGAACTCGTATTCAAAAATCTTCAATTCAAGAATTTTCGCAGTATCCATCTTTCTTGTCTAAATTGAATAACAAAAACAATTGAAAGTCGATATTCAAATGTTTCAAATTTAAAAAAAAAAATCACAGAAACCATTTGAAAAAAGTTTCATTCGAAAACCTCAAACCATGAAGATTCTATGAAAATTCAAAGAACCTATTGCAATAAAACGGCAATTTCATACTTTAACCCCTAATACTAGGAGAGTCCAAAAGTAAATAACTATTATGGTAAAAGAACAAATAGATATCTCTTGCCAATTATATTTAATAAATTAGATTTTTTTAGAGGCAGAGAATTGTTAAGTAAATTCAGTTTGAAGAAAAAATTAAAATTTATACTTCTTGAAAGCATATAAATTGAGTTAAATTCTACACTGTTAAAGGTATATTATATTTTTGTGATTATGGTGTAACTTCGCCAACAAACTGCTTTCACAGTTTAGTGAGAAATTGTACTGTTTTCTTGTACGCCTTGTTTGTATGAAATAAATAAATAAAATAAATATTTATGCCAAAAATACTATTACAATTCGCAGATAATTATTATTACAAAGATCAAACACCAAGAAAAATTCCTTCGATCTAACTAGACTTGCCCTACTATGACACAGACGCGGGTTCGAGTACTATCTGATTGAAGGAATTTTCCTTTGTGTTTGATTTATGTATTAACAAATTTTTAAAAATTAGTGTAGTACTTCACAAAAAATATTTTCTATAAAAAAATAAACAAAAAAGGAATTAATATCGTGGTAGTAAAACATCATAATATTCATTACAATCAATATTACATTCGCAGATGTTTAATATTCATAAATATCAAAAATCTCACCCATTAATATAAAGCATCTTTTTATCTTTCCGTAACAACTTTGCTTGCATGATGGCATCTTGCATATTGGTGCCGTGAAGCATAACTTTTGCCCCATATTCTCGAGCCTTGCTAATCTTGTTGGTTGGAGTATTTATAGGCATCACCACGATGCAAGGTATGCTCATTTTTGTAGCAACACAACTCAAAGCTATACCATAGTTACCAATAGATGCTGAGATCACTCCGATTCTCTTCTGGTCAACATTAAGTTGTGTCAAAGCGTTTAGCACTCCACGTTCCTTAAAGCTATCAAAATTTTGTGCTGTTTTAAATTTGGATTTTCAGTGTAAAGATATACTATGTGTAATTAATTAAATATACCATCCTGTGTGTTGCATAGATTCTGCCTTTAAAAACACTTCCATGCCCAGTCTCGATGACATATGCGCTCTCTATGAAATAAAAAAGAAGTAAGTTGAATTGTTAGCGCTCAGTGATACGAGGTGAAACTTATCGCGCGGCCGCCGCGCGGCGACCGCCTAGTCACTACTTCTTCATGTACATTAATGGCGAATCTGAATTCATCTGCATAATACAACGGCGCGGTCGCCGCGCGGCCGCCGCTTAGACCAGATTCAAGCCAAACTCGCCCGCGTGCCCAGGAAGCTCATTTAAGTTAAAACGTAAAAGTAAAATAAATAGAGCTTATTTTGCCATGACAGTTAGACGCACGCGGTCGCTGCGCGGCGGCAACTCGAGGTGAGCGCGATGAAATTCGTGTCGAATAAATGCGCCCTAACTTTTTATTTTTTTACAAATTAATGTTATCTTATTCAATATTATGAAACGTCGTGGTAGCCTAATGGTTTGACATGCTGCCTCTCAAGCATAGCCGTCGCACCTTGAGGTTTTCGGGTTTATGTGCGAAATTTAATTTGAAATTTACCATGAACTTTTAAGTCAAGGAAAACATCGTGATGAAACCTGCATGTCTAAAAAGGTTCACAACCCTCGGAAAACATGTCCCTAACCTGCATTGGGCGTGGCGGACCAGCAGTGGGACGTATAAAATCGACTCATGAATAAATAAATAAATAAATAAATAAATTATGATGGCGATGACGAATTCAATATTACAAAATCCAAGTTCATCACACTTAATTATCACTTCGTAAATAGTATCATGGCAGCTAACTTGACTATAATGCCCCAAATAAAACTTTTTTATTTTAATCCTAATTTTTCTTTCCATTATAGCCATGGTCGAAAAGGAGTTTTTTTTAATTTGTAGCACGACATACTTCCTTACATAGGTCAGGTACAAGTTCAAGTAAGGAGGTTACTTAAGTTCAAAATTAAAACATTCGCTTAAAATGTTATCTAAACATAAATTTTATTGCAATTCAGCCACATACTCCTTAAATACTTACTAGGGAAACGGGGGGTATTGGGAGCCCGCGCGTAATGAGAGCGATGTTAAACTGGACTTTCCCAGTGCTCGTATTTGTGCAAACGGCACTCCTATGTCTTCGTTAACGTTCGACAAGGTTCGAGTCCCGTAGGCGCCCCCGTAGAACCCCGCGTTTAGTCGTATGAGATGATTGTGTGTTTTTCGCTCCGCGCTTATAAAATTTGCTAAATTTCATCATCCCAGGTAAGCATTAAAATGCCTAGATACATTGTACTTACACTAGCTATGCCGCCATATCTATCAAATTTTAGAAGTTATGCTTGAAATCACAATAAAAATAGATTTGGTTTTACTGTTTTATTATTTATTTTATTATTTCAATTCGATGTTACGCAGGTAATGAGAGCTATTTGGCTCTTCTTATCCCATTGCAAAATTCACTGGATATTCCTTTAACACTTTCTTGTTTATTTTCATTACTTTTTAACATATATATTTTATTACTTTATTTATTTATTTATTTTTTCAGACTGATTATATATAATGGCTCCCATTTGACGTACGGGATTCTTACCGGCTCCCATTTCCCGAACTGTGGGGTAATGAGTGCGAATGACATGTTTTAATTTTTTCTGTTTTAACCATTGACTTACAATTATATGGACGTCGGGTCCGCACTAAAAAGTGTCCGCACTTGTAAGGCGCTAAAATCGTATACAGAGCGCCAAACTCTGCTTTAGTCTTCATTTGTTCGACTGACAGCGCGATACTGCGATGACATTACAATTTAAATTTCGAATAGGTTGACTTGGGACATTTTTTTCGTGGTTTTTGTATTAGACCCGTCGTCCATTTATTTGTAAGTCAATGGTTTTAACCAAATATTTTATTTCAGTTTCATATTTTTTCTGTGATTATTTAGTACCCAGATATGGGAAGCGTACGTTCATAACTAATAAAAATTTAAATTGCATAAATTATGACTTTTATTGTCAATTTTCCTTAGTAGGCTCCCATTCCCTCACGCTCCCCTATTAAAAATTTCTTAAATTGATTTTAATTATTTTCTGTGTAAAAAAATAGCTAATTTTTTTACAATCCATCATGACTGTATGCGTCTTTGCTTTTTACAGCACTTTAAGTCGAGTTGTATGATCTATGGAAGAATAGCCAGCTGGCCATCTGTTACCTAATAAAAATAACCCGCCATTTGCAAAATCCATAATTGTTGTGTTGTGAACCATTTATTTATTCATACAAGAAACAAACATCGTATTTATTTCCATACAAATGTGTTGAAAAACATTGTACGTATCAAGGACAGTAAAAAAATACAAAACTCAGTTATTGAAACCTTCAACCTTCGGCTGCGAACTTCTAATAGACCCTCGTTAATAATTTCTTATTTTCCGTCCTTAATACACAATGTGTACTATTAAATCCTATTCGAAAAATGTGTACAATGTACATTGACTTACAATTATATGGACGTCGGGTCCGCGCTAAAAAGTGTCCGCACTTGTAAGGCGCTAAAATCGTATACAGAGCGCGACACTCCGCTTTAGTCTTCATTTGTTCTACGGACAGCGCGATACTGCGATGACATAACAATTTAAATTTCGAATAGGTTGACTTGGGACATTTTTTTCGTGGTTTTTGTATTAGACCCGTCGTCCATTTATTTGTAAGGCAATGACAATGTAAAAATTACTTACCAAGCATGGTGTACGATCAACATATCCTGATATTCTCCTAGCAGCAGCTACGATGTCTTCAAATTTTATTTTACGCGGGTTGTTAGGATCACTGAATTGATCAAATTCAATTTCCTTTAAAATAATTTTTAGTGTATATTACGACGTCTTCAAATTAGACGTAAGCGTGTATTTCTTTATTCTATAAGTAGAAGCGCTGCAGTCCGGACCACTACTAATTTACACTATTTAGAAGCGCAGTTGCAGTCATGACGCGCGCGCCACTTTGCAGTCACAACTATATTATAGTAATTATAGTCTGTATTTTTTTGACGATGGAGTAAATAACAGTTCACTGCGCAAAAATGTTTCCCGTTTGCAAGCAGCCAGTGATTGTAATCAATGAATAGTCTATCGACTATCGACTAATTCCTTATATAAGAAATAGCTGCACTTATTTACGAATCATCATTGGCCCATTATTCGACCAACTTCGAACACTCAATTTTGTAAGTTCATACATACACTGCATTTAAAATTATGTCTACTAAAAACTAAAGATTTTCGTTTTAATTCAATATAGGTAATCATTAATACAAAGATCGAACAGTCAGAAAAAATTCCTTCGAACCGGCCGGATTCGAACCGACGTCTTCTAGCTTACCCTGCCAGACGCTGTTTATACGCTGACGCTAATTGAATATCAATTCAATAAAAATTCAATATAGTGATCTTTAGAACGTCGTAACATTCACAATTTACACATTTTGGCAAAATTTTACCTCCTTTCACAATTTATCGATAAAATTGTCGATAGCAACTACATGACTATATAAAATTTTATGAAAATTGACAACCCTGCACGTGTCATTTTACTGCGTCTTCAAAAAAAGACGACGCGCGTTTGCGACGCCGTAGAGGCTTAAAAAGCTGATTGCTGCATTTGTATTGATTCAATACGGCTCAAAAAGCAAATTGTTGCGTTTGTGTCGATCGAAACGCGCTCGAGACGCGCGTTTACGACGCCACTGAATTTGTGAACGTGTGCAAAAGTCTACTCGCTGCGACTGCATCGCGATTACTGGCGTCGCGATTCCGTTTACAGGCTCTAAACATTACTGAAACGCTACAGACGCGCGGCTACAGACGCGCGGCTGCTGCGCCACAGTCGCGCCATTGCAGCGCTTCTACAAGCGTCTAATTTGAAGGCGCCCTTAGGGTTATTTCATTTTTGACGAGACAAAACATTTCAAAGAAAGTAATTCTTCACTGTGACACCGATTTAATACAATTCATTTAAAATTTGATTAAGTTCACATACTAAATTTGCTTGGTTCTTAAGCTCTATAAACAACTAGTGTTTATGATCGTAATGGAAATCTGAAAATTGGGCTAAAACTTCTCCGAGCTAAGAGTTATTAGAGCCTAAATTCTGGCGACTTCGCTCACTACCCCTTACCTGACTGGCCATTTTGTTTTATTTTAATGTACGGTACCATAGGTTAATACGTTATATTTTCGTTTAAGTTTCGTGAATAATTTTCCATTTCGTGAAAATAAATACAAAAAAACTTTCAAGGGAACATTTACGGGGATAAATTCACTTTTTTTCTTCCTTTCTTTGCGCTGAGCCTTTTTTTGCTTTTTGAAGATCATATGTTATAAAAAACTTTTGACAAATTTATGACGCGTTATATTTTTTTATCTTATCTATGCTACCGAAAAAAGGTTGCTCTAAAAAAGTACGTTCAAACGATGTAACTAATACATACAAATAAACTAATATACTCAATGTGAATAAATAGCCGTAAAATCGTAATTATAACCAACAACCCTCGTAAAATCGTAAGATTATGAAAACAAGCTGTTGTTTGCAAAAAACCAACTGTCAATATTATTCTGCCATGTTTTTTTTATTGGTAGTCGCATATACAGCCGTACTAGTGTAATATGGCAGGATTTTATTTTATTAATTAACGTAATTGAAAATCTAGGATTTTTGGTGTTAAAGAGGAATGTTATTCCTACCGATAAACAAAATATCAAGCACTTTTAAAATTTTCATCCATTCCCCATTGTTATTTGTACAATACTAACAACCTCTTATAGTTGGCGAAATATTATTTGCACCGATTGTCTTATCGCATCATCTTTAGAATATTCGAGTAATAGGACAAAAGGGTGAGTCGTCTCGGTAACGCACGTGCAAACTACTAATTTAAACACTTTTACGCATTGGCACTTAATTCTAAACTTGATCATCTTTAGTTACATTCTACTTCCATGTTATATTATGCAAATTAACATAAGGACGTAATTGCAGTATATTTCCGTATTTCAGCCTCAGCTTGGATTTATGATTAATTTATTCAGCAATTTTATCTTTAGTTTTATTAATGTAATAAAAAAAATACTTAAATTTTAAAAAAAATTACAGATTTGAATTATGATAACATTGCACGAAATAGGTTTTTGAAATAGTATTTTATCTAGTAGTATTTCGAGGTGATTTCGAGCTTAGAGAATGGAAAAAAGAAGAAATTTGGAGACTATTGTTTTATATGTCATCTGACACTTTTGTGATATTTTGCAAGGCCTATCAAACAAAATAATTATAACTTAAAACAAACCTCAAAAGATTGTTACAATTACAATTATTTGCCAAGTTTTATTGAAAACTGATAACAGAAAGTGGGTAAATTGCAGTATAGTAATTTGCTACCCTTAGAAGTGGAATACTTTCTTCGAGAGAAACCCCCTTCAAAAAAAAGAATAATCGAAATTGTTTCACAAATAACAAAGTATTCGAGAAACATACAAAAAAAATTGAGAACCTCTTTTTGGGTCGGTTAAACACTAGCATCAACTTGATATTGCACAACGCTTGACACCGTATTTGTTTATTATTTTTACAGACTTGACACTAGCAAAATTCAAAAAAGGGTATATAATGCTAGAAGAAGAAAAATACGGAAAATGTATTTTTTTATGTGTTACCTTTTGATTGCAAAAACTTATTATAAATGGGACTTTATTCATTATACACACTCACACACATACACACATATATGTATAGAAAATTTAAATGATATACTCAAGAACTAAGAACTCCACAATAGATATGTACAAATAGTGTAAGTTTTTTTCAAACAAAGATTTTTTATTTATAAAACCATAAGGTTTCTTTAAAAAAAAACAATATACACGATTTAGATCCGAAAAAATAGTTACATTTTTACACATATAACATAGCGAAAACCTCAGAACTCGACGTAATGATGGAACGATAGGGATCTTATTTTGACTACGCAACCCTAAAAAGGTCATAAACATTAAATTAAACAAGCTGTGTTCTTAGACGATCAATCTTTCAAACACGTCTACTTACATGTTGTTATATGAGTATAATAATGCATTATGCAGATGTGTATGCACTGAACTTTCTTTAGGGCGCGTTATGTTTATAAAGTAATGAGATCGGTTTTCAATATGTATAAGTAATATAACTGGGCACATTATTTACTTATAAAACGCACTAGACAATGCTATGAATATTTAATCGAAAAGTCGTATCCTTATACACCGTCTTCATTAACCTACATAAGTCCCACTGTTGCACAACATTTCCGTTTTATCGCGAATATTAGTTTAGTAAAAAAAAATATTCCTTTTATTTTATAGGAAAGCAAATATTGCTAAGGTTGCCTAGGAAGAAATTGCTACTGAGCAATAAGACTGCCCGTTATACATTAGCACTGTGGTGCTAACATTAGGTACTATTCTGTGATGCCATTGTAATTTTTTAATGTCCAATAAAGAATAATTCATTCAATCATTCATTTTACATAGTCGTCAAAATGATTAAACAGAATATTTGTAAGACAAAAAAAAAGGTAAAAAAGCTTAGCAAAAAGCTTTAAGGATTGCTCTTTGTCAAAGAGATTTTTGTTGACATATAAACACACCCTAAATCTTAGACTATTCCATCCCTTAAACGGATATTAGTCATAGGTTTTTGTCACGGGAGTATCAAAATTTGTAGAATTTTTTTTAAAGATTTTTGTTTCCCATATTGGATCAAACGACGACGTAAGAAAATCACACCAGTGCCATCATATTCAATCCGCAACAGGGGTCTTATTGTAGAAGTATATACTTTGGCTTTATAGAGATGATTGTCAAGTCGGTTTATATTTAAAATTATATGTACCGCTAATTTCCATAAAAATATGTTCTCAAACAATATTTCATAAAATTATATACACGCATGTGTAGTAATATTTTCTATAGACACTTTGGGGCTCTGTTTTTAAATTGCCCAGTTATCGCGATTCTTTTTAAACGCCAAATTGTAAAAATAGCTAAAAATACCAATCTAAAAGTTTCCATGACTGAATGTTTTGGAATTTTTTTCACCGCCCACTCTCTCTAGTGCGAGCTGAGACATTGCGAAGATTAACTATATGTGGAAGCCATTGCAATTTGACACCTAGATCTACAAGATTCGTTTTTTTAGGGTTGTAAAATTAGGTAAGATTTATTAGCTTTTCGCATTAAGAAACAACTACCTTGTTCATGTCGTCATGCTGCTGCCTTTTAACTTTATATAATAAGTATCATCTACAAACAATAGTATCTCATTCCTCCCAAGACTCTAGGTAAGTCTACTATAAACGAAAAACTTAAAATTGAACTTTGAGGGACAGGTGATAATTGAAATCTCAGATTATGAATTCTTATCATTTAAATACGATTTAAGAAAGTCGTGGCCCTCCATACTAAAACAGCGAATCGTCGTACTGTGTTAAAAGCAAGTGATAATAATAAAACTAAACTGCACAGAATTCGAAAAGTACTCAGTCCCACCCCGTTCAGGCGCCCCAGTGGACATCGAACTTAAGACCTCCTAAAAGGCTAGCATTCTCCTATATGCGAAATGTTCTATATACAATCACAATTTACTCCTACAGCTGTACTTACATCTACTCTCGCACATGAACACATATCTATAGGTTATATTAGATGCACTATTTCCACTTTATTATGTATATTTCAATGTATAACTTTCCCCATAATCGTTATATATTTTTGCTTACAAACAATTGAATCCCTCTGAACTGACTAAAAACCAGCGCCTTAGGAAACTTTGGCATATGCTGAGTCAGCACCCTTTCACTCTATGACAATAATGCTATGTTTTTAATTTGTGTTTGTGTCATATTAATAAATAATGTAATTTGTAATTGGCTTTTGTACTGCTTAAACACATTTGTCAAATAAGTATAAGAATGCTATTGAAACTTTGTTCATTGAATAAAAATACTGCCTCTGTGGCCGAGCAGTTACCATGCTGACTGCCACGCAGAAGTCCCGGGTTCAATTCCCCGGCCGGGAGAAATGTTGATATGGCCAGCATTTATTTCTCTCGTGAGTTTGGGTGTAATTTGTGGTTGTCTATCTAAGTGTATGTCCATTGGACCCGCGATATAAGGTTTCCCTGGTGCGGGGCTATGAGTGTGTGCGTTATTATTATTATTAATAATAATAAAGTTTTATCTATCTATCAGCTGACTAAGCTAGTTAAGTTTCAACGTGTATTTTACGGGCAATATAGAAGCCTTTATAGACTAGCCGGCATTTTATTTTTCACTTAGAACAAAACCGTATACCTAGGTGTTTTCTCTATTTTCTTTTATATATCTATAGATTAATACTTGATGGTACAATAACAAAATTAACGTTCTCCTGAACACAGCCTTAAGAGGTGCCATAATAAATGATAGGGACGCTACAAAAATGAGCATCGTACATCATACAAACGGAGAAAGCTCAATAAATCTTCTTTTGTTTAGCATTTGTAATGCATTTAAACCAACACTTTGTTGCCAGTTAGTTCAATTTAACATGTCAACCTCACATGAATGTTAAGGGATTATTACTTTAATATAATTGATATTAGAGCCCGATGTGTCTTATATTTTCGATATGGGAAGAGAAAGAGAAAACATTTATTTCAAAAGTAGTACAGAGAAAAAACAAAGTAGGTATCAAAAAAAAACAAAAGAAAATGTGGCACAATTTTAAATTTTGTTGGTCGGAAAGTGGTGAGTTGACTGTATCAAGAGAAAATCTGTCAGTTAGGGTCTTTAGTGTCCGCCATATTGAAATTTTATCATACCTAATTATACCTTATATTCTATGATACACCCGATGATAATACAAACATATCGCTACCTCATTTGTTAAATATGTGACAAACATATTTGTATCCATTGCTATGTAAACACATATGTTAAATAAATCCTCCGGTTCGTGTAAGGTGGTACGTCACGGTCCAATTTTTAACCGACTTTGAAAAAGGAGTAGGTTCTTAATTCGATTGTATTTTTTGTGTATGTTACGCAACTACTCCGACATTTGTAAAACGAATTCTATTAGTACTCTTTTGTTGGGAACGG